GCCAAGTTCCGCCAGCTGTCAGGAATTTGGAAAAAAGTTAATAATAATATTAATGTTCACGCGGTATGTACGTAGGTGGTCGCGTTTTTATGTATCGAAAAGTGGCGAGTTATACTATACGACCCCAACAGCAGCAGCAGCGCGCGCATGCGCGTATGGGTGTATAGTCAGTCGTCTGACGGAATCATCATCGGAGGCGTGTACACTACACGCGTATACATCTCTCTGTGCTTAGACATCCGTCACTGAATACATATCGTAATCGCTCGTCGTCTGGAACATTGCAAGGCTCAAACTACCCCGTGTATGACTAAACCTGACGTTTTCAACAACCGCGGGAATCCATGCCGAGCCGTGGCACCGGGTGGGCGAGCCGTGGATTTATAAGTCTGAGGGAGTGTCATAACAATACGGTGGCAATTCCATCGACGCAGCGCTACCAATAAAGGGCCGGTGTCGTGCGCACGAGACGCTCTTTCACGAAACTAACTAGTGGCTGCGAGGCGGTGAAAGGACTTGAGGCACCGCGCCTTTGTCACACGGGCTCCCGCACGCACCACCGTAGCTTCGTAATCCCGCCACGCCTGCACCAACCGCATGAGATTCGTAACCCCAGCACGCCCACACGCACCACCGTAAATTTGTAAATGTCGAGAAAGAGAGATAGCGAAAGAGAGTGAGAGAGAACAATTAAGTTCATGCTAGGAAAACGGTATATTAATTATGGGTAGTGGAGCATGTGTTATAACGGATAGCATCAAGTATGACTAAGATCAGCAGGTATCTAAATATCTTTCATTTTGGGGTCGACTGAGGGAAGAATATTTTTGAACTAGCTACTCTTGCAACGAGATAATTTAAACTAATCATCTCCTTTCATTTAGGAGACGGTTAAAGGCGTAAGAAATCGTAAGCTTAATATTAGTATAAATATCGACAAAAAAAAATCTCGGTTTCTACTAGATGAAGATAAGACTAGACAAAACTTTTCCCAGCGGTATCTTTAACTCGCTAATCGTGTAGCTTATTCACGCAGCTGCTTTCCGCGGATCACAAACTCTATGCGCCTCTATCATCCCTGCCGCAGTTGTGTTGTCGTCGGGTATGGTGAGGCCGATACCTGATATTGTTCCCATCATGTTGATAGCAATGGCATATATCCTTTTACTTTTCTCTCCGTATCTGTCGCTACAAACTTCAGCTTCTTTAGCTTGGAAAGGGATACGCGGACGGCAGGCGTCCTGCGTTGGTTCTGTCGTATTCGATTATAACTTGCAGGATATCCGTTAATTGTTCGTCGTTTATCGCCTAACTTACCATAGAGCTTATAATCAGGGTAGCAGCTTGCCGCCAAATCTGCTGCTACTAGGTATAGTTTATATGCAGAACGTATATACTAACGACTGGTTCCCCGCTAGGTAATAATGTCGTAAATTAAAGCTTCACCGTCTACCCGGCACTGCAGCATAATTGTAAGCATCTTAATCTCGAGGTCTTTCATGAAAAAATTCGTCACATTATTTAATCATATGCAGCAGATCTGGTTCAATAGTATTGCTGACGGCCATGATGCATTTGATGCCTTAAAATGCGTATAACGTCTGCCCGTGGCATACATGCACATAACGTCCGCTACACCAAGGTGAAAAAGGGTGTGTCAATTCAATCCCAGCAGTCAATTGCTGTCACACGGTGGTGTGTCAGCGATATCTTTACAACTGCCACACCGCAACACCTTGGTCGTTAGTCAAGTCACCGGAATATTTAATGGCAGCTTGTTTGTGAGTTACCAGACATCGAGTGTGTTCTTAGATGAGTCCCCTGAGTGCATGCATACTCCGCGCACATGGTCCTGTTCGCTCCATTACAGGTATAGAATTTTCGATGGGGCCTCCTCGCCAGTTTGCCTCGATTTGGGTTGGCTCCCTGGTCTCTGTGAGGTTAACATGAAAAAGTCATCGGATAATATTATTCGTGACCTCGGTGTATAGATATGCATCTGCAAATCTTACATTGCAAGAACATGTTAATTATTTGTATTTCCTTGAAGCTGTCCTGGTTTGATACACTAACCCTCACTCTCATCCTCACCCTCATCATCGACCGCATGCACCGTCACCCCCTCGCACACACCCTGACCCCTCCCTTACAATTGACCTTACCATAACCCTCAGCCTCACCGTGATCCTAACCCTCATACTCACCCTCTTTCTCACACTCACCCTCACCCTCGCCCTCGTCCTTACACTCACCCTAACCCTCATCTTCACTCTCACGCTTACCTTCACCCTCGAGTGTGTGAGAGAAACGGGAGGAGAAGTAGTAGTAGTAGTAGTAGTAGAAGAAGAAGAAGAAGAAGAAGAAGAAGAAGAAGAAGAAGAAGAAGAAGAAGAAAAAGAAGAAGAAGAAGAAGAAGAAGAAGAAGAAGAAGAAGAAGAAGAAGAAGAAGAAGAAGAAGAAGAAAAAGAAGAAGAAGAAGAAGAAGAAGAAAAAAAAGAAGAAAAAGAAGAGTAAAGCGTATGGATCATAAGGATGTACATAACCAGTAGCATAGGTATACTGAGTATGAGGAAAGCCCACATCCAACCATACTCTAAAAAATAATATTATCAAGAACACAAAGTATTTACTTCTTATATGCACACAGCCGTGTATATATATGCATATACATATATACATATACATATACATATACATATACATGTGTGTGTGTGTGTGTGTGTGTGTGTGTGTGTGTGTGTGTGTGTGTGTGTGTGCGTGTGCGTGTGCGCGTGTAACCAAGAACTATACATGTATATCAATACCAATAGTAGCGAGGTTTATCTTAACTATACTTACGAATGTAAACATAATATTAGCATCATATAATGAAGCATAACAGCCAAATGCAAACGCGGCAAATTAAGCGTGTCACCATGTATGTTCATATAGCTTTGCCATACGCACAGGTTGCTTGGTAGCTTTTCTGTATTAAAAACGGATATTGTGTACACTTATATCTAATAATATTTATACTGTATGATTAAAATTTTAGATAACTATACTCATGTACTTGTGCACTCCATGTACGAAACCTCTCACCATTAAAGACCATTCAACGTATGCATGACGGCGTTACACTACCGAACTAAGGCACGCGTTCACTCACCAATACCCCGTGTAGACAGCAAATTTGATCATACATCAAACTAGTCCGGGCCAGGCATGCGCTAAATTTTTGCAGTATGTACACGCTAGTGCGGACCAAGTTAGCCCCACGAATGGAGGTGGGCCAGCCCTGCTTCGAAGCGTGAAGTTATCCCGTCCAGGTTATTACCCGCGCTAAATTGTGTGGCCATCGCACTTAGAAATATGTAATTTTTTTCTCCGCGGTATAAATAATTCAACCACGGTTAAATTATGGCCCTTTTACCCAATCAGTAAACATCAACCTTGTTACACATTATTTATTGCTATTGGCGGTAGAGAATAATTCAACCGCGGTTAAATTAGGAGTAACGAGGCCTCCCGATTGGGTAAAAGGGTCATAATTTAACCACAGTTTAATTATTTCTACCGCTGTAAAATAATTTATCCTCAGTTAAATTATGTGTAACACGACCTCTGATTGGGTGAAGCGCCAATCATTTTACTGCAGTTAAATTATTTCAGCCGCGGTAAAAATAATTATTTCTGAGTACGACGCCCAACCATAGGCGCTGGCTAAATTTCGATACATGCTCATAGCCTTGTTTGGGTCGCATAAAAGCACAGTAGCTTGTGAAATTGTGTGTGCAACTTTGTTTTTGATCTTCACTTCACCAGAGTCTAATTACAACTTGGCCAGAAGAATCTATCCAGGATGTAATGGAATGTTCATGTTTATACTTCCATTGCTGATAAAATGGCTCAATTTAATTATAATCGGATACCCAGATTCGATTATACGCCGGCTGCAGCTTCTGCTGTCTATTCAATCACCTTCACTTGTTATTCTGCTATTACAATAATACAGTATAAATCCTAGTAATGCTATCGGTGATACCGTTGTTTAACCGTCTAACATTGCTGTCTGCTGAGTGACGTAACAAGCTAAACTGAGCATGGACAGTCAACCCTTGCCTAACTTAGCCCGGTTGAGCCCGGTGTGTCTGTACTCTGTACGCTGCGATTTAGCGCACGCCTGGCCCAGGCCTGGCTGAGCTAGTTTGATGTAGGATCAAATTTTGCAGTCTGTACGGGATATAAGATACCGAGAAAATTATGAAAGGCATTGAAGCAAACGACTAACAACGGAAGTGCAATACACTGTACAATAAAAAAATACATAGCTCCACGCCGAATCTTTTAGTGCATGAGCATGCTGGCACATGTGTGCGCACAGAGATGCAGTCAAGACAAAGACTAAACAAAAGCCATGGACTGCGAGAAGAGGAATGCAGTGACTTGCCAAGATAACTTGTGGTGAGGCGCTTTACATCTGCATTGCAAACAATTATACCCACATATACATAGCAGGTATGATAACAAAAATAGATAAATGTAAAGAAAGGGATAATAAATTCATAGTACATATATATAAATACCGCTTACCTGCAACCTACTATCGTCACCTAAATAGGTATTTTGCCTATCGCCATTATGCCAATCTAGAATTTGTATCTAGCTAAAAGGTGTTTCCCAAATAAATGCTCACAAATGCTGCTTTCGCTTGCAGACTACATTAATTAGTGTTTAGTGATATTGTTTGCATTTAGGTGCAATGTTTCTGCACTACTAAATACATGCAAAATACATTCATAACATTTAGATATGTACACGCTATGCCCAAGCATAGCAAAAAATTATTCTAGACACATTTTATGTCAATCACCAATTATTTAAACTGCCTGTTTCTATAAAATCAATGCATGCTTTCAAGAGCACATAAACTATGTGGGTGCACGATAGTGATGGGAAAGATGGGTCATGATGGGTGGCGGACGGTAGGATAGTCGTGGGGAGGTGGGGTCGCAATGGGTGGCGGACGGTAGGATAGTCGTGGGGAGGTGGGGTCGCGATGGGTGGCGGACGGTAGGATAGTCGTGGGGAGGTGGGATCGCCATCGGTGGCGGACGGTAGGGTAGTCGTGGGGAGGTGGGGTCGTGATGGGTGGCGGACGGTAGGGTAGTTGTGGGGAGGTTGGGTCGCGATGGGTGGCGGACGGTAGGATAGTCGTGGGGAGGTGGGGTCGCCATGGGTGGCGGACGGTAGGGAAGTCATGGGGAGGTGGGGTCGCGATGGGTAGCGGACAGTAGGATAGTCGTGGGGAGGTGGGGTCGCGATGGGTGGCGGACGGTAAGGTAGTCGTGGGGAGGTGGGGTCGTGATGGGTGGCGGACGGTAGGGTAGTCGTGGGGAGGTGGGGTCGTGATGGGTGGCGGACGGTAGGGTAGTCGTGGGGAGGTGGGGTCGCAATTGGTGGCGGATGGTAGGATAGTCGCAGGGGAGCTAGGAGGCCATTATGATGGGACGGCTATAGGGTAGTGGTGGGCGAGGTAGGGGATCGTGATGGGTGGAGGTCAGTTGGGCTGTCGTAGAGGAGGTGGTGGTGGTGGGGGATGTAAAAAGCTATTATGGTTGAAGGGCAGTAATGTTACTATTCTGGTTTAAGGATGGTAGGGTAGTGGTGGGGGAGGTAAGGGGTCGTAATGGGTGAAGGGCGGTAGGCTGATGGTGGCAGTGGTGATGATTTGGGAGTAGATGTGAGAGATTGTAATTAGTGGTAAGGTGGTGGGGTGGGGAACACATGAAGCTGCCTAAGGAATTGAAGCCCATCCTCAAGTCCGTCGTCGTAGAGACTTCGTCTGCGCGGCACCGTTACAGCATCTCCTCATCTGATGAGCTTAGCGTATCACAGTCCAGCAGACGCACCCGGTCGCTCCCTGGGAACCGTTGCCGTGCCGACCGCCGCCGCCGTGATGACATCAATACCGGCACCCTCTCTGTGTTGACGTTTATCGCCTGCACGCCCCCCGCTATCACATCGATGCCCGTCGCCGATGATCCCTCCGACGATGCATCGTAGGGGGCGCCGGCATCCCGACGGACACCTGTGCCGTCGCACTCGCCACCCGTTAGGCCGCACGGTGCTAACTCTGTGTCCAGCTGCACTCGCCGCAACGGCGGCAATGATGACAACTCGTCCGTGTCCAGCTGCACTCGCCGCGACGGCGGCAATGATGACAACTCGTCTGTGTCCATCTCCGCGTCGCACGGCAACAGCGGTGCCGTCATGACGACCTCCGGTTGTGGGAGTCGAATGCCGGCAACACCCTTGCGGTCGGGGATACCAACGCGGTCACGCTTGACGCGGCGGCGGCGGTGCGGGTCGTTACGCCGTGTCTGTACCATGCTGTCAAAGTCGACGACGTAGAGGAAACCAGCGATGAGCAGCTCAATGCGCCGGCGCGTTGCCAGGTACGCGCTCTCAATTTCCGCACACGTCCGCTCATCGTACTGCCACCAGCCACCGCGGCCCTCATAGTACCACGTGTGCACCTCAATGCCGCTCCCATCAGCGGCGGCTGCTTCCGTCACCGCGGGCGCGGGCTTCGGTGGTACGAGGTCGTGGGGGTCAAGCAGCTCCGGGTTGAGCAGGTAGTCGTTCGGTATCACCTGCCGGCATAGGGCGCAACGTTTGCTAAGGTTCGCCGCACCCTTCACGCAGAGGAAGCAGAAGACGTGGTTGCATGGCAGACGTACAGGCTGGATGCATGTCTGCAGGCAGACAGGACACTCCTCAGCATCTATTGACACAGAAAGAGAAAGAGAGAGAACATGATCACAATAAGATAGAATTGTCTATTATCTAAAGATAAGAAAATGTCCACAGTCTTTTTTCTCACTGTAAGACAGGATGCTTCTATAAATATAATTAATTTCCCTCACAGTAAATAAGTCTCAAATGTAATGAATGCCTAGTTAGGCATGCAGGGTTCTCCCCAGGCATGCAGGGTTCCCCCCAGGC